AAAAAAAAAAAAAAAGTTTATTTAAAATAGCCAATACATACCAAACTCTGAAAAATGAAAATAATAAGCACCTGTTGTTTTCTTAAACCACATTTATGCTAATTTTGGCAAATAACCCGGTTTCACTGTAAAGATACTATATTAAGAATGTTTTTAAGCCGGGCACAGTAGCGCATGCCTGTAAATCCCAGTGTCTCAGGAGGCTAAGGCAGGAAGATCGTGAGTTCAAAGCCTGCCTCAGCAAAAAGGAGGTGCTCAGCAACTCACTGAGACCCTGTCTCTAAATTAAATATAAAATAGAGCTGGGGATGTGGCTCAGTGGTTGAGTGCCATTCTGAGTTCAATCCCCAGTACCAAAAAAAAAAAAAAAAAAGAATGTTTTTAAGACTTCCAGGTAATGGAAAAATAGCAATCAATGAAAAAGGAGAAATAAACTCTTTAAGAAATGTTGAACAATCAGAAAAATATGCTGTGCAACAAAGCTCTTCTAAGACAAGGAGGTGGTGGACAATGGAGAGCAGGTATCAGAATCACATGGGGAGCTTTTCTCACGATACCCAGGTCTATACCAGCCTCCATCAAGCCACGATTTTCCAAAGTGAATAAATGTGAGTATATGAAATCCCCAGGTAGTTATGATACCAAGTTCTTTCAACCCTTCCCACTGTCATTCGAGAATAAATAAATATACCATTGATATTTTTCTTTTTTTGGTACCAGGGATTGAACTCAGGGGCACTTAACCACTGAGCCACATCCCAAACCATATTTTGGATTTTATTTACAGACAGGCTCTCACTGAGTTTCTCAGTGCCTCGCATTGCTGAGGCTGGCTTTGAACTTGCAATCCTTCTGTCTCAGCCTTCCGAGCCCCTAGGATTACAGGCGTGTGATACAACACTCAGCAAAATTTACCACTGATATTAACAGAGGAAGATACTTTAAAAGTATAAAATTATTTGTTCTTAGACAAGGCAGGAATATGAACATGACCTGCTGACTAGAATTGAGACATGGATATAATTACCAATGGAACCACTTTAAAGGAAGGAAAAAAGGAGAAGGAAATACGATTCAAGAAAAATTTTTTTGGCTTCCTTGAAAAATAACTCAGAAAAGTGAAAGAAAAAAAGGCCATCAACAAATACATAATGTTTGTGTATACCACACTGATCTATTCTAAAGTGGCTAAACCAAGAGAAATCACAGTTGTTGCCACACAACATAACAAGACACACAACATTTACTAACACTTTCGTGTATTTTCAAGAACTTGTTATTTATGTTGGGAAGATAACAGTATGAATAAATTGAGACAACAGAAAGACCATGGGAAGAAAAAGGGGATAAGAAAATGAGAGGGAGAGACATTTGATTGAAGGAAGTTTAGAAAGCACAGTGTAACCCAGGATCTTTACAGACGGTCAATCTACAATCTGTTCAACATGCTCTCTATGGGTGGCACTGAGAGAAGCAGGATAGGGATGAGCCAGGTACGGGGCAAGGTGAACCAAAGTCCTCACTGCTTTGCTGTCCAGTTAATAAATCTATTAGTACTTTTGCTACTGAATCAACCCAGTCTCAAAATTCTATTAGAGATATTCCCAAGGGCAGACTGCCCCAAAAGTCAAAGAAAGATGTTACAAGTAGACAATGCAGTCCAAAAAAAAGAAAAAGAAAAAAGAACCAAAAATCAGATTTTGGTGTAGTGCTGGTGCAGTGGCAGTGGTGCATTCCTATAATCCCAGTGGCTTGGGAGGCTGAGGCAGGAGGATCACAAGTTCAAAGCCAGCCTCAGCAATTTGGTGAGGCCCTAAGCAACTCAGTGAGACCCTGTCTCTAAATAAATACAAAAAGGGTCTGAGGATGTGGCTCCAGTGGTCAAGTACCTCTGGGTTCAATCCCAGGTATTTAAAAAAAAAAAAAAATTGGTGCAGGGAATTTAATCGATAACATCAGAATTCAGGAAATAAAAGTCATTAGGGCTGGGGCTCAGAGATAGAGCGCTTTCTTAGCATATGCAGGGCACTGGGTTCCATCCACAGCACCGCATAAAAAATAAAATAAAGGTACTGTGTCCAACTACAACTAAAAAACAAAATACTTTTTATAAAAATCATTAATGCTGTTGTATATTAATATTTTATATATATAAATATAAAATATAAATACATATATATTTTTTTGGGGGGGTGGGGGTGGGGAGCAGTACTGGAGATTGAACCCAGGGCTTTACATACACTAGGCAAGTGCTCCACCTCTAAGTCACATCCTTAGCCTTTTTACTTTGAGGCAGGGACTTTCTAAGTTCTCTAGGCTGTCCTTGAACTTGCGAGTCTCCAAGTAGCTGGAAGTATAGACAAGCGCCACTACTTCACTATGAAGTGCTTCCTGGAAACCCAGCACTAGGGTGATTTACAGGTATCACCATCACAATGAACCAACACCACCACCCCATGAAGCAGATAGCTACTTTCCATCTATTACAAATAAGAGAACTGCAGCATGCAGAAAAGAAGTAATTTGTCCAAGGGACTGAGGTTGTGGCTCAGTGGTAGACACCTGCTTAGCACAAGCAAGGTGCTGTATTTGATCCTCAGCACCATATAAAAATAAATAAAATGAAGGTATTGTGTCCAATTAGAACTTAAAAAAAAAAAAAAAGTACACACACACACACACATGTATATGTGTATGTATGTATCTATCTATCTATCTTAAAAAAAAAAAAGTAATTTTTCCAAAGTTACACAGCTTGAATTGAGTACAGGGCAGAAGTGATATCACCAGATGTGATATCAAAACTCAAGCTGGACAATAATCAAATTTGTGCAATCACTTAAAATACGAGGTATCTGGGGACCCAAAGGGGTAACAACAAGGTGCCTAGAGTAAAATTTTAAATGTGTAATTACACAGGAAAGAATCTCAGCAATGCTCCTGAGCAGGTACAGGTAGAAGCATATAATGCTCATTTATATACTGATGGTAAGCTGAAGAGTTTAGGATCAAGAACATAATTAAAAGAAACATTATTGATAAGCTGAAGAGATGCACATGGGAATTTAATCAAGATAAAATCAGCTTGATTCTTTCATGTTTACACAGAAAATATTCTAAGCAAAAGAGAGGGAGTAGAGGTTCATCCAATACTCTTAAATTTCCAAGAATACTTCTCCCTTATCTGTGGGTTGGCTAGGCTGCCAGCAACATTATCTTTCTTGACAGTTCACATAGATAAGGCAAAACAGGGGTTTGAGTCTAACTATCAGAGCCCCCATCCAAAAGGATATACATAGGACCTATTATGCATAGGAAACAGAGCTACTTTGCTATCAGGAACCTTTAAAGGGGCCATAAAACGGAACACAACCAGGGATCCCTACATATAACATAAACATAAAGTCATATATTCCAAGCTCCAAGGTTCTGGATCTCAGACTTCTAAATTAAGACAGTCTCATACACGTGACTCTTCTTCCCCCAACTTGCAGGCCTACACAAACATGTGCTCTGCCTTGAAAATACAGATGTCACCATCCAAAAGAGAATGATGATGCAACCGTCTGTACAGGTAGGTCCTTTACATTATATAAGGGGAGCAACTGAAGACAATAATGACAGAACTAAAAAAGGCAAGTGGAGCCAGATGATGTCCACCACTTCCCAATCCCCAATCACAGAATAAAGATTTACAGACTAGCCGGGCGCGGTGGCACAAGCCTGTAATCCAAGCAGCTCGGGAGGCTGTGGCAGGAGGACTGCAAGTTCAAAGCCAGCCTCAGCAAAAGTGAGGCACTAAGCAACTCAATGAAATCCTGTCTCTAAATAAAATACAAAATAAGGCTGGGGATGGGGCTCAGTGGTCGAGTGCCCGTGAGTTCAGTCTCTGGTACTCTCCCCTCCCCACCTTCCAAAAGATTTATAGACTATCCATGAAAAGTAGAACTGAAGAGTCAGACTTAAATGGCATTCTATTATAAATTCTTCAAAAATAAGGAAGGATCACTTTTACAGTAAGTATTAGGAAAATAAGCCATGCTTTCATAATAAAGGACAGTTATAAGAAAGGAAGTTTCCTGGAAGCACAATTAATTAGAAAATTAATTGAGATTTGGAAAGCTGGCAAGGACAGTAAGTTAAACTCCATTTATTTGACACAGAGTCAGAGGATTTAAAGTGGATGATTAAATAATGAAAAGCATTGTTCCTCTAAGAATGCAGACACATGCCGCAAACACTAAAGGTGTAATAATAAGCAAAAAATGAGACAAGCTGATAATCTACTATGTGGGTTTCAAGAGACAACTAAGAAGAGGGAAGTTTCTAATAATGCTCAAGGTTACAATCATAGAAAATCTGTAAGAAAACGTGGGACTGAATTCAAAGTTTAAATCTGCCATTATGCTAAAAATAGGGGTTAAGGATAAAGTACGATGACTACAGGGGTATCTGTTGAGTCTCTCCATCTTCTGAAATCTGACTTGAGACTCTACCATGTCCAAAGGAAAGCAGTAAAGCAGAGGCTCCTACAGGTGGGCTGAAAGATGGCGATGGCAGGGTGCGGAGAGCAGGGGTCTAGAAAACTAGGTTCCACAGAAACAAGAAAATTTGATTATCAGGTGTTCTTTTCTGAGATAAGGAAAATATTTAAATGACACAAAAATATATAAAATAAACAGTCTCCAGCAGAAAGATGCGAAGAGGAATGCTATTCTGTGCTATATTAAAAAAAAAAAAAAAGACAAAAAGAAAAAAGGGGACTAGGGATGTGACTCAAGCAGTAGTGCGCTCGCCTGGCATGCGTGCAGCCTGGGTTTGATCCTCAGCACCACATACAAACAAAGATGTTGTGTCCGCTGAAAACTAAAAAAATAAATATTAAAAAAAAAAATTAGAATAAGGCATAGCAAGGAAAAAAAGCTTCCTCTCACTCAGTCTCCCCCTACTAGGAATGAGCTGATTCCGTCCCCTCTGTCCTTGAGGAGCACCAGGCCTACCGTGTGGTAAGGTTATGTTTGCACCATCAATGATTGCTTGTGCCAGTTCATGATCATTGCTCTCAAAAGCGTGTGCAGCAGCCTTCAAGGCATCCCAAATCTCTTTCCGGCCTTCAAAAGCTGGTGCAGTGTCCCAAAATTCGTCCCTCTTGCTGCGCAGCTGTCCGTCTGTCATAGGATAATCGCTTTTCCATTTTGGTTTCTCCTTTTTCAAAGGCTGGTTACGACCGAGAGCAACTGGAAGAAAAATAAGACTGACATCATAACCAAAATTTAGGGGATGTTGGTATAGCTCAATGGTAGGGGTTCTATCTCCAACACTGCAAAAAACCAAAAACCAATCAACCAAACGAATAGAATTATAAAAGATACTGTTTTTCTAAGAAAACTTACCTGGTCATTCCTCTTTTGAATTCTTTCACCGAAAATCATAGTTAGGAGTTTGCCTGTTAGCTAATCTGTGTTCTGATTTTCCCCTAACTCATTTTAAAACAAGAGCAAATGGAGATAAGAGATAGCTCTATGCAAAATTTTCAGTGATAAGTTAGTAGCCCTCCTCCACTCAGCAAGTCCCTCTGAAGGATGATCAAAAAGAATTACAAGTGGAGCAAATGTAACCACTTCGATGAGAGGTGTTGATAATGAGGCTCTGTATGTGCCAAGGCAAGGAAAATATGGGAACTTTCTGTACCTTTTAATTCTGCTGTAAATTTAAACCTCGTCTAAAAAAATAAAAGTTGCATGTGATGGCACATGCCTGTAATTCCAGCTAATCTGGAGACTAAGGTGAGAAAATCAAACATTCCATGCCATCTGCAGCAATGTAGGGAGACTTCCTCAAAATACATTTTAAAAAGGGCAGAGTATATAGCTCAGTGGTAAGAGTGTTCAATCTCAACTCTCAGTTTAAAAATATTGCTGGGCATGGTGGCGCACGCCTGTAATCCCAGCAGCTCAGGAGGCTGAAGCAGGAGTATCAAGGGTTCAAAGCCAGCCTCAACAAAAGTGAGGCACTAGGCAACTCAGTGAGACACCCTGTCTCTAAATAAAATATGGGTGGGGATGTGGCTCAGTGATTCAGTGCCCGAGTTCAATCCTTGGTACCAAAGCAAAAACAAAAACCCATATACACATGTAAATATATCTTAGCCGGCGGTGGTGGTGCACACCTATAATCCAAGTAGCTTGCAAAGCTGGATCAAGAGGATCACAAGTTCAAAGCCAGCTTCAGCATCTTAGCGAGACCTTGTCTCGAAATAAAAAATAAAAAGGGCTGTGGATATGGCTCAGTGGTTAAGTGCCCCTGGGTTCAATCTCTGGTTAAAAAAAAAAAAGGTTCAGTTTGTTCATTAAAAAAAAAAAAATCTGCCTAGAAGAATAGTAATAAGTATTTTATCCACTCTAGTGACAGGCTTGGAAAGACAAAAGGGATGCCATAACAAGGACACAGGATACATAGGGGAAACTGAATGGCAAGAGTAGTCTGCATTTCAGGCCTCTGGCTACATAAAATCAGTAAGCAGGAACTGAGAAAATCCAAAGAGGCAAAAGAATACTTTTCAGTGTTCAGAGAAATGGCCGGATCAACAGACCCACGGAACAAGTGACTAGAGGAATACTTCCTCCAGCATTCCCCTCTCTGGACTCCAAAGAAGTGGCTATCTTTCTCCAAAACTCAAGGAAGAGCTAATCTAGAAGGGGAGGGCAGAGGGTACAATCAACACTTCACTTTTTTTTGGAGGAATTGTGAGTGCAAAGGTTGAACACCAACCACAAGGAACATAAGAGGTCACTAGGGGAGTTTTGACACTGGAAGAGAAGAACAGAAGCCACATGTCCACTCTCTCAGCATCACCTGTACTCAGAGATGTTACGCAGCAGTCCTGTCACCTGGCGCAGCTTCTCTGCACCCAGACGCTCACACAGCGTGCGACTGATGACCTACTTTCCACAGGCCACACATTTCCACAGGCTCTTCTTACCTGTGGCTCTGCAGGGTTACATGCTGCCAGCGATAGGCAGTTTGATAGATGGAAAAAATGTGAGAAGAAAATCGAAGCCTGATGAAAAGGTAAGCTGGGAAAGAGTGGGTGGGGAATAATTGACAGGGTGGGAAGGAGACAGGGGATGTGTCAAAATTCAATGTTCTATGTTTAATTGTAGGATGAACACTCATTTAAAAGACAATACTCTTAAAATGGTTTTAAAGCATCCATGAAATGAAGCACTCCCTCGCTGACCCAGGGTACACAGAGGTATACATGACAGAAAATAAAATGACGCCAGCTCCCGAACAAGCTCTCCACACTTTGCAGGCGCTCTTCCCGGAAGACGGGACCAACTGATAGGGCAAAGTGTGTTTGGTTTGATGCCTGGATTGAACCAAGCTCTCTTCATCCAATCTAGCCACTTCATCCCGAGGCAGAGCACCATGTCAGGTCTCCCCCGTCGCCCTGCCTCAGGCAGACAGACCACCCCGGCTGTTTTCCAGTATTGACGCCCAATACTTTTTGGCCCTGTAACTTGTCTCAGTGAAGTGCAAGACAGGTGAGCTGTGAAGGGGTTTGGAGAGCAGAGTTGGAACACCATCCATCTAGCCCAAAGCCACAAACACAATCTGTGCCTCCTTATTTAATCAACAAGGGTATGCTGAGCGTCAAGGGCAACACTACAGATATGCCTGTTGGGTTTGTTCAAAGGTGAAACCACAAGCTATATTGATTGTCCCCTGCATTTCCAAATAACACTGACAATGCAGACAGAGCAGAATTGTCCAAGAGGTGCCAAACACAATCCAATAATTACCACTCATCCACAATTCTACCAAGGTGAATTGCAAAGGTGAAATTTCTTGTCTACTACATTATCTTTAGATAAGTTAGAAAAAGTTCATAAACATACTCTTAGTTGTGCAACAGGAAGTAGGAGCTGGGACACAGGAAGCAGGTATTCAGCCAGCTATCTATTTGAATGACATTTTAAGTCCATCCAAGCAGTTCAGAGAATTAACTACCCTCATGCATCACAGGTACCATAGGGACAACACAACTGAGTAGAGTTTTTCTAGTTGTTCTGAGAGAATCTCAAGGTAAAGGCAAATAACAACTCCACAATGAAGACCTAAAATTCAAACAAATGAAAAAGGTCCTATGCTGGGCACAGTGGTGTGTGCCTGAAATCTTTCAAGAGGCCCCATCTAGAGAAACCCAGCAGAAAATGATTTCATGAGAAGGGTAGAAAACATTTCGGAAGAAGTAAAAGCACTTCCCTTCCATATGGGGAGGAGCTTTATTCCACCTGCCTGTCTGCAGCAGGCTTAAGAACAGTCCATGAAAAGAATACACGAGGGCTGGGGTTGTGGCTCAGCAGTAGAGCACTCACCTAGCATGTGTAAGGCCCTGGGTTCGATCCTCAGCACCATGTAAAAATAAATAAAATAAAGGCATTGTGTCCAAATACAACTGAAAAATAAATATTAAAAAAAATACACAGTCCATTAATGCTACCCAGCACAGTCATCATTCCAAGTGCACACACACACATCCACGTGTGCCCAAAGCTCACATTCATTATTTTGCAAAACAAAATAGGGCCTTACAATATCAACAGAGCTCATTTTATTTATTCACATCTGCCTATAAGGTCAGTTATTAAAATGCTTACATCTTTGCAGTACAGATTATTTTAGTGAAACACTAGTGTAGAATTTTTACTACAAAATCAGAGGCTCAACCTTCATCTTCAGGAAAGTGAGTACTTTGCACGCATAAGCTATGCTCAGTCTCAGGGCTGACACACAGCAGCAGGAGTTTCTCGTTAAACTAAATGAGATACTAACAAAAATATGTTTACTGCCTAGCGAACTTTTGTTAAATAACTAACTAGGGGAAAAATATGCATTGAATTCCTTCTATAAACTGGAACAATACAGGGATGCACTCTTCCACTCAACACAGTCCTGGAAACTCTAGCCAAAGCAATTAGACAAAAGTAAGAAATTAAAGGGATACAAAAGGAAAAGAAGAACTCAAACTATCACTATTCGCTAACAACATGATTCTATATTTAGAAGACCCAAAAAAATCCACTAGAAAACCTCTGGAATTCATAAATAAATTCAGCAAAGTAGCAGGGTATAAAATTAACACCCATAAATCAATTGCATTCTTATACACCAGTAATGAATCTTACTGAAAGAGAAATTAGGGAAACTATCCCATTCACAATAGCCACCCCCCCCCCAAATAAAATATTCGTGACTCAATCTAACAAAAGAGGTGAAAGACCTCTACAGTGAAAACTACAGAACACTAATGAAAGAAATGGAAGAAGACCCTACAAGATGGAAAGATCTACCATGTTCTTGGATAGGCAGAATTAATATTGTCAAAATGGTCATACTACCAAAAGTACTAAATAGATTTAATGCAATTCATATTAAAATCCCAATGACATTCTTTCATGGAGATAGAAAAAGCAGTTGTGAAATCCATTTGGAAAAATAAGAGCCCAGAATAGCCCAAGCAATCCTCAGCAAGAAAAGTGAAGGAAGCATGACAATACTAGACCTTAAGCTATACCACAAAGAAATAGTAACCAAAAAAGCATGGTATTGGCACCAAAACAGACCTGAAGACCAGTGGTACAGATGAGAAGACACAGAGACAAACCCACATAAATACAGTTCTCTCATACAGACAAAGGAGCCATAAACATACATTGGAGAAAAGATAGATTCTTCAACAGATGGTGCTGAGAAGACTGGAAATCCTTATGTGATAAAGTGAAATTAAACCCGTATCTCTCACCCTGCACAAAACTCAACTCAAAGTGGATTGAGAACCTAGGCATTAGACCAGAGACCCTGTGTCTACTAGAAAGAAAAGGAGGCCCACCTCTGCATCATGTCAGCTTAGAAACCAAACTCCTCAACAAGACTCATAAAACCAAGAACCAACAAATGGGACTGCATCAAACAATCTTCTTCACAGCAAAGGAAATAATCAAGAACATGAAGAAAGAGCCTACAAAATAGGAGAAAATCTTTGCCACCTGCACCCGAGAGACAGCATTAATCTCCAACATATATAAAGAACTCAAAAAACTTAAAGAAAAAAACCCCAATCAATAAATGGGCTAAAGAACTGAACAGACATTTCACAGAAGAAGTAATACAATCAGTCAACAAATATATGAAAAAAATGTTCAACATCTCTAGCAATTAGAGAGATACAAATTAAAACTATACTGAGATTTCATCTCATTCCATCCAGTCAGAATGGCAAATCAAGAATACAAGCAACAATAAATGTTAGTGAGGATGTGGGGGGAAAGGTACAATCATACCTTGCTGATGGGACTACAAATTGGTGCAACCACTCTGGAAAGCAGTATGGAGTTCCTCAGAAAACTTGGAATGGAACCACCATTTGACCCAGTTATCCCACTCCTCGGCATATACCCAAAGGACTTAAAACCAGCGTACTACAGAGACACAGCCATATCAATATTTATAGCAGCTCAATTCACAATAGTTAAGCTATGGAATCAACCTATGTACCCTTCAACAGATGAATGGATAAAGGAAAATGTGGTATATATATACAATGGAATATTACTCAGACATAAAGAATGAAATTATGACATTTGCTGGTAAATGGATAGAACTGGAGATAACTGAAATAAGCCAATCCCAAAAAAACCAAGGGATGAAAGTTCTCTCTGATATACAGATGTTGACTCACAACAGGTGTGTGTGTGTGTGGGGGGGCTCACCAGATCGGACAGGGCAGAGTGGGGAGAAGGGAGGTGGGATGGGAATAAGAAAGACAGTAGAATGAATCAGACATAACTTTCTTGTGTTCATATATGAATATACAACCAGTGTAACTCCATATCATGTACAACCACAAGAATGGGAAGTTATACTCATGTATAATGTAAGTCAAAATACATTCTACTATCATGTATAACTAAAAAGAATAAATTTAAAAATGTGCATTTAGCAAATGTAGTTAAACTATTCTCTCATTAAAAAATGAAGACTGAGGGCTGGGTTTGTGGCTCAGTGGTAGAGCACTCGCCCAGCATGTGTGAGGCACTGGGTTCCATCCTCAGCACCATAAAATATAAATAAATACATAAATAAAGGCATGAAAAATGAAAACTGAATCATTTAACGTTTGTAAAGTACAGAACAATGAGTAATAGAGGATGAAACTACAAACGAGTGTTTGTTGAGTAACTAAAAAATAAACTGGCAGGTACTGTTGAAATAAAGAACTTTAAATATTTTTGTAAAAATACACAAGTATTTTTTCTTTTCATACTTTCTGATAGAACCTGACATTCTAAGAATTCAGCGCAAAGTCCCTTCCTTATTTAAAAAAGAACTGTTCTATGACTGCCATTCACTTCCTGTGCATTTGAGAGTAGTTTTCTAGGAACTGCTCACCAAACCTCATACTTTGATTTTTAAAGAAAGGCAACATCCTTCCTTTATTCCTCAAATTTCTTTTAAGTTGCAGGAAACCACTTATCCTTGGTTTTCTCCTTTGGTTAACAAGTGAGAAACAAAAGATTGATAAAGCAATGTAATTTTTTTTTAAAAAAAGCAATGTTATTCCAGAAAATATCCTTTTTTTAAAAAAATAAATCAAACCACACTTACTACTTCTTTCAAAAACTTGCCTAAAACCACCTTCTTCTCAGAACCCTCTTAATCATACTCATCTACTCTTTATCTTTCCTTATAAACACTTAACACTTTTCCCCGCTCTGACAAATAGATTTTTCATGGAAAACCCAACTCAGGCTTCCTTTTCAAATCTAAATAGCACATAAGTATTTTTACTACATAATTGAAAGCATTTTACCAAAAACTTATTTTGACATTTTATTGATAAGAAAAAAATTATCTTCAAAATAGAGTATGATTGTAATTGTTTTCTTCCTTTTGGTTCCTCTTTAAGAAACCCTGATTTAATTCTGGATCTCATCAGATGAAGAAAGGAGAGCCTTCAGTGCACAGATACGGGGAGAACATGAAGTCAGGGTCAGGCCTTAACAGCTTGAAAAGACGGAAAGGGGAAGCACGGGGATCAAGGGGGTGGAGGTACAACTCAGAGGCCAAGCACTTGCCTAGCCTAGCAGGGGCGAGGCCCTGGGTTTAATCCCTAGCACCACGAAAAGGGGTGGGGGATAAGGGGAGTAGGATATGAAGGAAGACTCACTCTTACCCAGGAATAAAAGCATAAAAAAGAAGAAAATAAGGAGATATTTCGAAAAATCCCTTTTACTGATCCTGATAAGGATCATCAATAGATTTGCTAAAGCATCGTGAATAACAGAATGCTCAAAATGCTGAAATCACCACAAATATTCTTAATTGCCAAGAAGAAATTGCACTGTTGATATTAAGGTAATGACATTCATTACCATAACCAAGGGGCCGAATAGCCTCCTCATGATTTGCAATATAAATCATACAAATATGTATGAAAGATTCATACCAAAAATGTTTAACTTGCATCTAACAAAGTTTTTTTTTTTTTTAAAGTCTAGGTTTATTTATTTATTTATTTTTTTAGGTGTAGTTGGACACAATACCTTTATTTCACTTATTTATTTTTATGGCATGCTGAGGATCGAACCCAGGGTCTCGCATGTGCGAGGTGAGCACTCTACTGCTGAGCCACAACCCCAGCCTAACATCTAACAAAGTTTTTAAAAGTAACTTACCATTTACAAGCAACACAAAAAATAAAGGAACAAGTTAAAATGCCTTCAGACACTGTCATATCCTCTGGAAAACAAAATTA